GTTCAAAACTACAAAGTCCTACTTCCTAAAAACCCAAGAAAGATAAATGTTTTTTTTTAAAAGGGGAAAACTAGGAATATCATAAACACACTGCTGAAAAACAAGGTCAAAATGAAAATATTAAATCCAGTAAGACAATATACAGAAGTACCTTAGTTCTGTTTGGCAAAGTTTTGTTTTTGTTTGCAAATTCTGAATCTGGTGACAAACACAATCACAGCCATCTTTTCCAGACATAAGTGTGGCCATCTTTTCCAGAATTGTAGAACAAATTAAGTTTGTGAACCAAGGTACCACTGTACTACCTTTAATAGAACAGTAAAAAGGACTGCTGGTTTTAGCAGAAACAAAAGGGCAATGAAAATATCTTTAAAAGGTAGGAGGAAAGGGAAGGTGGATGGGTGGGTGGGTGGACTCACTCTAGGATTCTATATACAACCAAACAATTTTAAAATAAACTGTAAAGAAAGTTCTACAAATGAAAGAAAAGAGTTGGATGAAAGCAAAATACTGAAAATAAAAAAATGAAGAGTACATGAAAATTTAAATACTAAGGTTAAAAAAACAACAACAATTTTAGCCAAGTTCATAATACAGTTTGATTAAAAAAAAAAAAAAAAAGCAAAAAGCAAAAAGCATGTTAGGTACAAGGCATTGGAGATAAAATAGATTCATGAATTGAAAAGAGCAATAGAAACTATCTAAAATGAACTACACAGGTGAAAAACAGCAAAAAATTATTTACCATTGATCTGTGCAACACCTTCAACAAACCTAATAAAATGTATAATTCAAGAATTTCTAAGGTGTAAGGGAAAGAATATTTTAAGAAATACTGGCTGAAAAATTTCTAAATCTGATGAAAATTATAAACCCACACATCCAAAAAGCTCAAGAATCCCACTAACAAGAAATGTAGTATAGCACACCATAATCAAAATGCTTAAAATCAGAAAAAAAGTATTTTAAACTGTGAGAGACACATTTCCTTAACAGGACAAAAGACAAAAATGACAACAGACTTCTCACCTAAAATGATGTAAGTCAGAAGACAAGGAAGTAACATCTTTTCCAAAGTCAACTTAAAATTTTATACTGATAATGGAAGTATTTTCAAACACAAGGGTGAAACAAAGACTTTATCAGACATACAAAAGAATTAATTTAAACCAGTTGTGGTAGCATCCTCCTGTAATCCCAGCCCTCTGGGAGGATGATGTAGAAAGAGCATAAATTCTAGTTCAGCATTCACAGTTTAGCAACTTATCAAAACTCTTATTCAGAACAAAAAACTAAAAGGGGATTAAGAACAAAATTCACTTGTGAAAGCCCCCCCCCGTCAGCTGGGCGTGGTGGCGCACGCCTATAATCCCAGCACTGGAGAGGCCGAGGCAGGAGGATCACTGTGAGTTGGAGACCAGCGTGGGCTACATAGTGAGTTCCAGCTCAGTTTCAACTACATAGTGAGACCCTGTTAAAAAAAAAAAAAAAAAAAAAAAAAAAAAAAGCCTTGGGTTCAATGCTCAGTACCACAAAAAGAAAGACAATAATAAATTTATCATCAGGACATCTGCATGGAAAAAATGATAAAGGATGTCCTTAAGCAGAAGAAAAATTACAGCAGCTAAAAATCTGATCTACACAAAAGAACAGTTTGCCAGAAATGGTATGTATGAGACTTTAGAAAAATCTCTTATTTAAACCACAATTAATGTATTATGGAGTTTATAACATATGTAGAATAAATAAAATGTATGACAAAAAGTAGTACAATGACCAGGAAAGGAAACAGAAGCACAGTGACAAGTTTCTTCCAATATAGATGGGAGTGAATTATTTGAAGGTAGAATATGGTGATTACTGCATTAAGAACTCAAAAGCATCCACTAAAAAAGCAAAAGAAAACTGTGTAACTAAAGCCTACAAAGTAGATGAAATAGAATAATCTAAAATCCTGAAAATTCATTTGCCAAAATAAATGTTTGGTAAAGTGGCAATACCCAAAATATATATACAAACACATACTATTAATTAAAAATTAATAAGGAAAAATGTATTAGGAAAACACACAGGACATCAATAAGGACAGGATATAGGAAACCAATATGACATGACCTAGCAAATGAAAACATTTTCAACTTCACTATAATCGCAGGCATGTTTAAAAAAATATTTATCTGCTATTTATCACCTTGACAGAAACCAAAACAGAAAAAATACTAAGTGTTTTTAAAGTACGATCCAAAAGAAGATCCATTTGGAAAGATCCAATAAGAAAAACAATTTGCCAGCTACCACAGGTGTCACTGCACGTGCATTTGATATTAGTACTCAAGAGGTTTAGGGAAGAGGATTGCTGCAAGTTCAAGGTCAATCAGAACTATAAAATGAGTTCAAAAACAACTTAAACTGCAGAACAAGACCCTGTCTTTAAAAAAGGAAAAGAAAAATTGCTAATATCTATTATTTAATAAGGCTAAAATATGTACACACATCTTATTACCTGAAAACAACACTCCTAAAAGAATATAACTAGGTGCATATTGTAAAACAAAGCACTAAATGATGTACTGACATTCAAAGGTTTAATGCCATCAAACAGGTATTTTCTTACAATGGATTACTACAGGGAAATTAAATTAGATCTGTTTAGCAATATGTACCTTAAAAAGTAAACAAAGAGGTACATGTAAAAAGGATAACTATAATATGAAACCTTCATGCAAACTTTTAATTTATAAAAATAAAACTTCTGTAGTTGTAAATATTAATATAGATACTCTCTATATAAGGAAACTTTATATATACTTGCGAAGGATTCTTACAAGTGGTTACTCTGGGAAAAGGTAATGAGATGAAAGAATTTTAAATATAACAACTATTTAACCATTTAAAAGTTTACCCGAGGTCATTCCCGCAGCACGTTTGTCTACATAATGACTAACCTGAGCATTGTTCACACAGGTGCCATTTCACCTGGTTGATTCTTGTACTGAATAAATTTGATAAAACTATCATCTTTATATTTCTTGTTATATTATTGTATAAAAATTAATGACAAAAATATTCAATTTTTTATCATACTGTGTTTAATTGGTTCTCAAAACTGAAGTCAAAGACATACAGCAAAGTATTATCATTTATTAAAACACAGACTATGTCACAGTCTTCTGTATACCTGAAATATTCAAGTAAAACAATAACATGAAGTCTATGATAAGAATTTTACTTGAAGCTGGGTACCTCTTCAGAAAAAAAAAGGATCTGTGATCTAAAATTAATATAACTGTATTTCTTCAATTCTAAGACAAAAAAACATAAGAGAAACAAAAACTATATTTATCCTGTCAAAAGGCAGGTTAGCAGTCCTCACATTCAATATTAATTGTTTTCAGAATGGTGCCCATCCACCAACACACCAGTTAAGTGTGCCTGGCCCACAATATGTATTCCAGAGAGCTCCTCTCTTGCCAAGTCTTGGTAAAGGGAGGATTTTCAGCCCTTACTATATATATGTTATGTGATATGTGGTACCCACTACTCCCAAATCCAGGGCCTCTGTTTAACAAGAGTTCTTGGCATTCCCCTCACTGCTGGTTTAGTATACATATTTTTTCAGATCTGAAAGTCTATTACCTGTTGTTCCTCTGCTCTATAGCTCACAAAAATATTCTTGCCATTGTCTCCTCTCCCATTTTCTTAGTCCCTATTGTCCGTGTATTGTCATCTTCAGTTTCAAAAGGGAACAGGGTAACTTTATTGTCAAAATAATAACTTATTCTCAGAATGAAGTCTATCTACATCATCTATCACTATGTGAAAATATTTATTTATCTATACACACACACAGTCCAATCTTGTCTGCAACCTTCAACATATAACAGTAGATGATTAAAACCACAGGAGAAATTCCCACAATCTGAGAAGACTAAAAAAGACACCATAGAAAACACCCATGTTGGCTGGCTCAATCTCACATACTGCTTTCTCTTATTAACAGATTCTCACCTTTTTAGTGGGATCTAGGTCTAAGTAAATCAGAATCTATCCAGTTTTTTAACTGAAGTTGGAAAATAGAGCCCTTTATCTGCTTTCACCAAAAAAAAAAAAAAAAACAAGGTAGAGATGACTGCATTATCTATATAACAAGAGGAAAGTCTATCAGAAAAGAAAAAGAAAATCATAGCTGTTGCATTCAAATAAACATAAGGGGCAAAAAAGACAGACTATCAGCAACATTCAAATCTGTGATCTCATTTGCTTCTAGTCTACCAGAGAAACCAGTTCTAACCTTAAATTCTGGCTGTTCAGTTCATCCTTTGTGTGAATGAGTACTAAAATATTTCCCCCCTACAATCTCAATAAATACCCTTCATATGCTTAAGCTAGGCATGATGATGTGCATTTGCTCACACAAAGGTGTGCTGCTTATAATATATTCATTCCTAATACATAAGATTTTACATTTTGCATTTTCACATTTATATAAAATAAATGCAATTTTACATTTTTTCTTAATTGTATGAAACAATATTGAAATCCATTAATCTCTTTAAATGCCTTTAGATAAGCCAGACTAATGATGCTTACTTAACCCAATCAAATCAACATATAACTGCTGAAAATAGTACTTCACTTTTATGGTGATAAAAATAATCTCTTATTTCCTCCTCCAAATCTCAAATGTAAATGGAATGATATGGCGAAAATGACAGTCACTAGAAGATTCGCAGTATAATTATTTGCTATTGAAATAAAATTATACTCCCTTTAACACTTGGTGTTTGTTAATACAAATTGACCATTGCAAACAGTTATATTAAAAGGAATTTATTTTTTTCTTTAACTCAGGGGGACTCTTTCAGAAGATATATTTTCTGGCCAAATAAAAAAGATGGATTATTGACTATTAATTTTAAAACATTTCTGGATCATTTTCTTTTCAGTAAACATTATCATTTAAAACAAAAGAATAAATTTTAAATTCATCTGCTACTTACTGCTTCCAGTTGTTTCTTCTTCTGTACTAGTAACTCCAACATGAGATTGACATTGGCTAAATCAAGGTTATCTTGATCAGTTCCCAATAAATCTTGAAATATCTGCCACCTGTGGCCATTCTAAAAATGAAGAAAAACAGTAACTTCCTAACAAGATTGTTGTACATTCTCTAAAACAAAGGCTTAACTGCTATTTTCCAATACACTTATTACACAGATATAAAAAAATACAGTGGAAAAAATTGGAAATAATTTCCAAACAATACTTTGCCAACTACCTGGCTCCCACACCCTTCTCCATGTAATTTAAATACCATTTCTCCTTTAAATGAATTCAGACAATAGATATGAAAGGCCCATTAATGACAAAAGTTAACAGAATTCAAAACAAGTAAACAGATTTTAATTATCTACCATATTTTCAACTTTGCAACTGGCAAAGTATTAATTTAAGCTCATCTGTCTCAATAATTTGGAGCTAATCCTTTTGAACTGAGAATCTAAAAATATCTGCTCAGTTTTTGTCATAAACGATCCTTCAAACATCACATATTACAAGCCAATTCTGTCTCAATGTGACTTCACTAGATCTTTCAAAAGATGATACTCTTTTGACAGGTGTGGTGGTGCACATCTGTAATTCCACTTGAGAGGATGAGGCAGGAAGACTGCCAAGAGTTCAAGGCCAGCCTGGGCTACAAAGGACCTCAAAGCTACCCTGAACTACATAAAAAGACCTTGTCTCAAAGTTCTACAATGAAATTAGAAGTTATTTATTTCAATAGAATCATACATTTCCTTTAAGAAAAACAAATTATATACTAATTTTAATATTTAGTTAATACTAAATAATAAACTGAAATTTATTAAAAATAGTAATAAGAATTGAAACATACGGTGCTACTCACTGAGTGGTCCAATTTGAACCTCTTTTCCTCAAATCTTTGCTTCTGTTTGAGAATAAGTTCATTCACTGAAAACAGAAACAAAAATCACATATAAATTGCATTTGTTATATGTGTCTTCTAATTCTTCTGTTTACAGATTCTGTTTTAACTTTACAAAGCCTGAAAAGCTAAAAAGATCATATACAAAAATTAGGTTTTTATAGTATTTCAAATCAGAAAGTTTTCTTGACTCTATTATTATGACTTCTATTACCACAGGAAAATTGTTTAGAATATGTACTTACTCTTACACCTTTCTCAAGGATGACACTATTGGTAAATGGGGAGAGAGTATTCTTTACTATATGTCTCTTGTGCTACAGGTTCAAAGGCATAGGTAACTAACTGAGCACCCATAAGTACCGATGACTTATTTTACAACTTTTCTGTAAATATTATGGAAAATACTATCAGTTACCTATCCAAAAACTCACCAACAAAGCACACTAATTCAGTTTTTTATGTGTTCCTATAACTAACAAAAAACTATCTTTTATGAAGCTAAAAAACAAAGTAGGACCCTCACAACTCAAACAACTCAGAGAGTGTTAAAAAATGTTTCCAAACATGCATCTCAAAATAATTCAGTTAGTCTCTAGAGTTTATCATAAATTTAACCATTTATTTTCAAAACTAGCCCCTTTTCTAATTGAGAACTGTTATTTCTAATTTAGAAACTGAACTGTATATTTTTTTCTTGATAATATGATTGTTTTCCCCAAATGACGTGCCACCATAACTTTCAGAAAGGCTAGATCTTTCCCCAAGTTCACAGTAATATTATTAACTAACCTAAGCCAATATAATCATTTATGCCCTTTCCAATGACTGATGTGGACTCATGTATGTAATTTAGATTCAACCAATGAAACATGTGCTGTTTTTCAGTTCAATGCCTTTAGAAGGAAATGATTAGATCTAGTCACCTTGCAATAGATTATAGCTGGCCAAAGAATCAGGTCAGATGCTGAGGAGGAAAGAATGAATAGAAGAGTATCACACTGAATTAACTAGCTCTGAAAATTCTTCTGTATAATGTTTAAGTCAATATAACTGTATTTTTCTGGGTTTTTTTTTTTTTTTGGTTTAGATTTTATTTTGCTTTGTTTTTAATAACCAATACATTAAATGATAGCAAAAATCTGATACAGGGGAAATAAGCACTGTTTTAGTTAGGCACTTTATTGAAATTACCTTATAAGTTATTTTTTATTTAGAAAGAATAGGGAGCATAAAAGCAGTGACACACAGAAAAAGATAGAGGTGGGATTCAAGCACTACTGCCTAATATTTTCCATTATACCACGAGACAATCACAAATATTTTGGAAAAACATATACGAAGAATCCAAGTCTCAAAGATGAACAGGGCAATCAAAGACTTGGAATAACTCAAACTAGCAAGACAGTAGTTTTAATAAATACTGTACGCGATAATCAGTACTATCATTGAAACAGATTTTATGAAGTACAAATATTTAAAAGTACACAGGCCAAGGATCAGTCAGAATAGAATAAAAAGTAGGAGGACTCATATAAAGGTGAAGGACTGGGCCAAATAAGCATGCAGAGATTCGGTATGGAGAAAGATGAACAGAAAAGAATTCAGAAAGGAGGATGGTGTGTAGAAAAATTGTAGAGGATATAAAATAGAGATAGCAGAGACAGAGTCAGAGTGATTTTGTAAATGAATATTGGAGGATAAGAACTAGGGTTAGAAACGTAGGGAAGCTGAAGTCTAACGTTAAAGAGCCTGAAATGTATGTACTTCACAAAGCTGTTATAATCCAGAGGATAAACAAATAAAAAAGAGTTTAATGTTTCATTTATAGAAGTAACCATGTGAATAAGAACTGTGATTTAACACATTCCCACTGGCTTGAACCATCCAATCTGGTGGGACACCTGGCAGCAAGACATAGAATTATGGACCTATCATGAAAATGTAAAACAAGTGTTTGTGCTACTTATTTTTACTAAGAAATCCTACATATTATTTTAAGAACAATCAAGTTTTTAAAAGGCCCCAGAGTTAAACTGCAAAATAATTATGGCAAATGAAGGCAAAAAGAAAAATTAAAAGAAAATGTATCTGCTGATATGCAGCATTATATAAAATGTTTAAAGTTACATTTACCAATATACACTTTTCAATTACTGAATCAGATTTTTTATTTTTTTTGTTTTTTTTTTGGTACCAGGGATTGAACTCAGGTCCTTGCCCTTGCAAGGCAGGTCACCGAACTGCTGAGCTAAATTCCCGGCCCCTGAATCAGATTTTTTAGCTATGACAAACAAGATTGTTTCCCTTTTAAAAACTATAACTTTACCTGGAGGAAAAAAAAGTAATTTCTTTTTTTAGTATATTTCTTCATCAAAGAAATACTTTACTTTTGTACCTTGAAACTTTAAAAAGAAAAAATATCTCTTAAAATGCTAGCTGGTATGAAATAGGAATTAACATTCAAATTGTCTAGATCTCTATCAGTCATCAAAGTTAGACAGTGAGAAAAAAATTTTTTTTTAAAAAACTATGCCGTAACTTACAAAAGTACAGCAATATGGCCAATTACTTTCTGCAATTTTGGAAATTTATTTTTTAAAAAAGGTTCTGAGCCAGGCATGATGGCACATCCCTCTAACTCACTCAGGAGACTACAGCAAGAAGAACACCAGTTTGAAGCCAGTCTGGACTATGGAGCAAGTTGAAGGCTAATGTCTTGACACTGTAATACTGTATCCCAAAATAAGAAAAAAAGCAGAAGAAAAAAAAAAAAAGCAATGCTTTGCTGTTAGCTTTCTTTTCATACTATAGTTTTAAATATTTATGGACTTAAAGAATGTCTTGTTCACCAATGTACAGTCACTGGTGTAGAGCAGGAAACATCATGTGTTGAATGATTAAACCTAATGATTATGAGATTTCAAATTTGACATTATCACATTCAGCAAACACTTTCATATTCTAATGAAGTTAGACATTTACTTTGAACCAAGATCAGTTATTAGAACTGAGATTTAAATCTGAAAGATGGATTATACATTAATTATACTTCTCTGAAGTCTTATGCACAGGAATGAGAAAAAAAAAAAACTCTCCCTACCAAAAAAATGCATTTGTACTGCTGAAGCCCTCTATTCCAGCCAACTGTCTTCATAAAGGCAACACAGCATAAAATGCAAGGTCCTGAGTTCAGATCCCGGTACAAAAAAAAAGGGCAATACAGCATAAAGCGACTGTTGAACCAGGCTTCTTAACCAAATCCCAATTCCAATATTTACTGGTTATATGTTATTTAACTTACTTAATTTGTGTATGCCTTAGTTTTCTCCCTTGAATAATAGCAATACCTAACTCACAGGACTGCCAAACAGATTAAGAGTACAAGTCCATAAAGCATCCAAAATAGTACCTCGCAGGAGGAAGGCCTTTATATGTTTTAGCTATGTTTTTTCCTAAACACAAATTTTAAATATTTCATGTGTGATACTTTTTTACATTAATGAAAAGAACAACATTCATTACAGAAGTACGAAAATTAATTTATAAAATGTTATCTACAGAGAAATCCAAAGACAGACACACACACACACACACACACACACACACACACACACACACACACACAAATATATAGGGTATAGGGGAAATGGTGGGGCTGGGCAGGACCTATAGGTCCTATGGTCTAGGAGAGAACTTGCTGGTCTTGGGCCATGTTGAACATGTTTTGAGAGTACTGTTGCATGTGTCCAAATTCCCTTCCTTTTTAAGGATGAGAAATATTCAACTACATGGATATATACTACACTTTTTTTATTCATTTGTCCCTTCATAGACAGTAGGGCTGCTTCCACATCTTGGTTCTTGTGAACAATTCTATGAACATTGGTATAAAATATCTCTTTTGTACCCTGCTTCCAACTGTTTTAAATATATAATGAAAAACAGAATTGCTGTAACAAATGGAAATTTTGCTTTTAATTTTTTGAGGAACGACTATACTATTTCCATAGTGGTTATACCATTTTATATTCTCACCAACAGTACCATCTCTCCATGTAACTTGTCACATTTTTGTTTTGTTTTCTTTTTCTCTTCTCCCCAAACCTCTTTGATAGCAGCCATCCCAATGGGTTTGTAACTTGTGTATTTTTACTTCCTTTCTTCGCCCTTCCACCCCACTGCTGATGATTATTACAAAGGATTCTGAAAGGATACAAAAATGAAGAACCAGATGCAGAAATACATAGGGTAAGGTAGGTAGGAAAGGGTGTGGAGCTTTCATGCTCTCTCCAGGCGTGCCACCTTCGCAGAACCTCCATATGTTTAGAAAAGCGCGGCTCTCTCTGTCCTCCTAGGTTTTTAGAGGCTTCAGTATATCGCCGTGACTAATTAAATCACTGGCAACGGCTGATCAACTAAACTTTTGGTCTCTTCCCCACTTCCTGGGAATGGAGGATGGACTGAAAGTTCTAACCCTCTGGTTACCTGGTTGGTCGTCTGACTACCAGCCATCACGAGGCTGCCAGGAGCTCCCAGCTATCAGTCATCTCATTTTACTTACTTATTTTTGATTGGTGATGGTATATCCTATTTGTAATCTGTCATCTTTATGATTTACTTATTCTCTTGGCAAAAGAAGTTGGTCTTGGTCGTTGTGCTGTATTCTATCTAATAGTCTTTACATTCTAATTTATATTGGAAATGGACCCATAATTTTATGTTGAAGTTATAGTTCATATGTGTCAGGTTAATATCCTGTAGTCACGAAGAGCATGGGGTCTAAACACTCCACTGAGAATGAGCCATTTACACTTTGGAAAGAGAAAGAGAGATTACAAGAATAAAGAAGATGGAGAGAAACAGATGTTGTCTGAATCAGAGAGAAGGGAAGAAACATGGAGGAGAAAGAAAATGCTATGGAAGGCTGAGTATTTTCTAGCAGGCCAATATCTAATACATAGTCATCACACCCTAGTGAGCATTCTTTAGAATTAAGAGTTAATTGTGATACACATTACAACAGGAAACACCTTCATGACTACCTATATCTGACAATCTTGCTTTTTATTCATTCACAAAGCCGTCAGACTAAAGGTATCTCACAATATCTTAGGCCATTCAACATGCAGAATTTTTTTATGATTACATATTACTTCTAGCCATTGACCACTTACACTTAAGGGTTCATGTCTTTTCTCTATTTTCTCTAATTCTTATCATTTCTGTAACAAAAATTCTGTTAATTATGCCTTCCTCGATTCGGATTTTTCAACTGCCTTCCCACTTCAGGGCCTCTCCTCTTCAACTCAGTAATCCTCATATCCAACTTTTCTCTCCCACTTTGCCTGAATATACAACAATGAATTTTTCGCCTCCCTATTAATTTTCTCCTCTGTTGCTTCTCACCTTTGTCCCAGAAGCAAAAGCAGAATGCACAATACTGCAGAGAGAGACATAAAGGTATTTTGGACCTCTGGCATTCTCTTAAACCTCACATCCTGGCTGGCTACCTATGCAAGATCCTAAAGGCTCTGTGAGTTTTTGTCTTATCTTTTCCTGTTTTGATGAAACTTCCACACTATAACCAAGAGGAGGAAAGCATCCTGGTGAGTAGAGACAAAGTTGTTTGTGCATGAGCTAGGCTTTCTGAACAAACTAGCATATATCTGGGGAGAAAGAATATATTAAAAAAAAATTCCAAAGACTCACCCAAGAAATTAGGATAGAGATGGTCAATATTGTCCACAACATAATTACACTTGGGACATCTATTATTGTCCTCCAAACTCTGATGAATACACTTGTAGCTATTAGCAGGAAAAAATAAAACAAGCTTAATTAAATCAATGAAAATTTAACAAGCTAGTCAAAAAATATTGTCTATTAGTTTTCTAGCCTTCATTTTCAAAAAGTAGCAAATTGTTTCAGCTTATTATTTTTACATAATAAACTAGATAGCGCATTACTGGTTGAGTAGTATACAAGATATTTCAAAGTAAACTCTAATAACAAGCTTATTGGTTATAAAATACAAAGATTAATTTAAATTTATACAATTCATATAGTATAGACACTAGAAAAGCAATCACTTATGGTTTGGTTAAGCAAAACATTCATGTTCTTCGAATGTTGACAGTCTTAATACACAAAGAATTAATTCAAACAAAACTGAAAAGAAAAACCAAATATTTGAACAAAGACAAAAATTACTCATTGAGTATGAGACAATCATTACCTTCACTAGTAACCAAAAAGATTCAATCTTACATAAATTCTAAGTTTTACTAACTAGAATGGAAAAATACAGAACACTGTCAGTTAAAGGGGCACACATAGTTATGAATGCTATACACTGTTTATAGAAAATGGAACAGGCACAACTTTCCTAGAAGTCAAGTTGCATGAAAACCCTAAAGATTCTGTATTTGCCCTTAAGATAACGACTTTACTTGTAGGAATTTATCCTTAGGAATATACATGTAGAAGGTTGTTCAAGGCAAGGGTTATCTGTAAATAGCAAACTAAAAATAGAGGCATGCTACATACTAGAAAACGATGTACATCTGTAAACATTAACCCAATGCAATGATATACTGCCAATAAATAACGTATATAAAACTAACTTATTAACAATTATCACTGGAAAATAGGACTATAGGAAATTTTGCCTTTCATATATTTTTATAATGTTTAACCTTTATAACAGTGTATACCTTAAAATAAATTATTTAAATGTTGTTCAACCAAATCACAGAAAAGGAACAAATGACATAAGAAAAAACACCATTATAATCACTACTCTGCTGGAGAAAAATAGCAATCTGGAATACAGTGGGTAAATATATAATCTCACATCCGCTAAAAAAACTATATATAGATATACTTTCTAAATAAACTGAAGACATTTACCACAATGTTAACATTATTTGTCTATAGATTATATGAGACTTTTCTTTATAGGTGCCTTCAAATTTCTATTATTTCAGATAATCAGGAAAAAATTGATTCCTAAGAAATTGCAAGAGTTATTTACAGAGGTCATTCCTAAAAAGAAAGGCAACTTTTTTATTCTTTAACTAAATAACTATAAATTTACTGCAGCTCTATAAACAGAAGGTGATTTTGTATTCATCTACTTTCTTCTACCTTATCAACAAATAAGGGCTGGGGATTTAGCTCAGCAGTTCTGCTGCCTGCCTTGCAAGTGAAAGGATCCGAGTTCGATTCCAAGTACCAAAAAAACAAACAAAAAAAAAACAAATGAAAGTACTATAAACCCACAAGTTTTCACTGTTCTGGATATCAACTACTTTCTCATTTCTTATTTGTTACCTTCTAGACAGGAGAAAACGAGAAAGGATCCAAGTAACACTGATCTTTGGCACAGTACTGGAATCTGAAAGTTGGAGTAAATGCCTGGTACATAATACATTCAATAACCTATTACAAATGACTCATGAGTTCTGGCAACAGTATCATCAACACTTAAAAGTATGACGAGGCTAAAATTACCATATTATCATAGACTATGCTTCATATCTGACTGAAAATTTCTTACATGGAAATTTTAGTGACATAAATAACATTTTTAATTTTTTTATTTTCACATTTATTATAAAGGAGAAGCACAACATGGATAGTCTGTTTACAAGAAAGGAAGTATGGCAAAAAGAACAAGATAAAGGATAGGGATGTAGCTCAGTGGGGATATAACTCAGAGGTTCAATTCCTCAGAGGAGAGGGGAGAACAATAATAATAATAATAATAATAATAATAATAATAATAATAATAATGTCAGAAAGTTTGTCAGTGTATAAGAAATTATTCCAGAATCTAGAAGAAAACATCCTCATTTTGCTTTCTTTGGCATCCTAATCCTATCTCATATCAATATACTTACTACCATAATATCTCTCCTCAGTAGTATGGGACATAGACAATAAGAATTATACTCAGAATCCAAGTTTAAATCACTTTTGTGCTTTGTGCTTTGAGCTTGGTAACACCCATCTAAATTACAGAATTCAAGTATATCAAATTATATACCACCGTATAAAACTCTATGCCCTTAGGGTTTATGTCTGGTCTGTAGCCTTTTCCTCTCTGGCACTGCTTCACTGCTCTCTCTCCCAGCAGCCATACACTAAGCAGCTTTATTCATCATACTCTTCTACTATAAGGTTTCTTCCTTGGATCCAACACACCACATACTCAATCCCTTTAAAACGTGAGCCAAGCTGAACTTCTCCTTTAACTTGTAGATGCCAAGTTTTGTCTCAGCAAAGAGAAAACTAATAGGATCTACTATCTCACTATACCCCAGTTCAAACCTGCACTAGTAACTACCATATATGTGACTGTCAACCCCTTTTCTATTTGCTCATTAAAAGAATGCCTAGTACCTTAAAAATAAATAAATAAAAAAATCATGAAGAATGAGTATTTCTCTGTAGATACATAAGATTGTCTGTTTCATCTATTATGCATCCTTCTGGCAACAAAATATATGTGTCTTTTCACAAAGATAAGCAGATATACAAAACGATGTTAACATAAAAGTTCCAGAAAAAGAAGGAACAAGAACACAAATCAGTAGCAGACACCAAAAACAATAAGCAGTTATAAACATTAATAGCATAGTACAAGATGATACATTAGCCTAGTATCTCAAAAGACATTCTGACACCCTGGCTGATTGCCTATCCGTTAGGACTAGAATTAACTTGTAATGAAGCAAAGCAGCAAAAGTCAGAACCTGACAGACTTGAGGTTTAAGAAGCAAGGCAAAGGAGACAAGCTGAAGCAGCAAAGAGGCAAAGATCAAGAGCCAGTTTTATTTCTATATTATATAGAAGTCAGGTTTTTTAAATTAATAAATCACTAGTTTCAGGCTACAGGTCACAGGATCACATAAGAGGGAAAGAGTTCTCAAGTAGGAAGGAATAAATCAAAAGAAGTTCCTGCCATATTTTCACAAATCTAATACAAGGAAAGACTAACCATTTACATGTGGGATGAGAGGTATGTTGTTGATGTGGTCCACGTTGGTGTAGTGCTATTAATCTAGATGGAATTTTGAAGTTGTACAAACTTACCAGCTTCAACTTGCTTCAACTTACCAGCTAATGACAGAATTAGAAGATAGGTAAAGAAACAGAGGCCTCACACATGAGGATAGATAATTATGAACTTTTGCTTCAAATAAAACTGCAAAGAAGTTTCACAGTACATCAAGTTTCACATTAAGGCTGCCTCCAGCTTTATTAGCTCCTGTCAAATGTAACGGTCCCTATCCAATGAAACCCTGCCCATGGGAAATGCATTTTCATCAAGATACAGCACAATAATAAATTGTAATGAGGATCTAAACCTAGACTAATTTAGGGGGAGGGGGTATTTAAAACACCAATGGGGTTTCTCAACAATAACCTAAACATCAGTATAATTATAGGATTAATTGAAAAGGCAAAGCCAGTCCAGTTTTAAGGTCAACCTTAATTTACTACCAGTAATTTATTATATTTCACAGCACAGTGAAACATAATTATTCAACTGATACAGAGACTTTTAAAAATACTGCAGCAGACATATAAGTTAAAGGAGGACAATTACAAAAGTAATTATCCCTCTTTACAATCTGTTTAGCACCTCAAAACTTTTAAGTCTATGAAAGAAAAAGAAGTGAAGGAGTAGAGAGAGAGAATGATGGAAAGAAAAAGATGAAGGAGAAAAGAAAGACCAGCAGTTCTGATTTATGAACAAGAGCTAGATCTAGATCAGTATATTTCTCTTTCTTTGCTTTTTTGGTACCAGGGATCGAACTCGGGTCCTTGTGCTTGCAAGGCAGGTGCCAGCACCACTGTAGATCATTATTTCTCAACTACAGGCAATTTTCTCCCCCAAGGGGTATCTGGCAATGTCTGCATACATTTTTGGTTTTCACTACAGAGTGAGGGAGCTGCTACTGGATAGAGGATGGTGACATAAACAATCTACAATGTACAGGACAATCTCTCCAGGGCCAGGGATGTAGATGTAGCGCAGAGGAATAGCACCTGCCAGGCAAGCACAAGCACAAGGCCCTGAGTTGAATTCCTGGCACGCACACACACACACACACACACACACACACACACACACACACACACACACAAGATTCAAGACAATCAATCCAACAAAGAATTAATTGATCTAATGTCTCAACAATGCTAAGGCTGAAAAAGTCTCCACTAGAGCATTTAACTTTACAGAATAATCAAGATCCAAAAATTTTGGTAGTATATGGTTTTCTATGGAATACTCACAACCTGGATCAATTTATGGACAAAAACAGAAAACTACTGCTGAACAATTAGCCTGAAAGACCAAGACCATTCACACGTTTTCATAAGAGGGTCAGCCACACAAACAGAATTTCATTAGCAATATGGAGTGTAAAGGGAGACATGAATCACAATGATGTCAACACAAAAAACACTAAAAATAAAAATTACTCGAGAAAGCTTTTTTTTAAATCTGGAAAAAAAATTCTGAAAAAACACACACCTATTCTATACAAGTGACAACATGTGAAGATGGGGGAAAGAGACCAGGGAAAGAGAGATTTACACTCTGTATTACATCATTCTGTACAGTAGAAGTTTTCTAAGTCAAGAATGTACATTGCTTCAATTTGGCTTTAGTAAAGAATACAAACTAAGAGAGCTATTTTTACTCTGAACCATTTAAATGACCATCAAACTGGATAAACATATTAATGAAACAACATGATTCAGATGAAACTAAAGTACTTACTGACTGGTGCTAACACCAGTATCTTTCATGACTAAAGGATATTAACCTGCCATATATGAACTACCACTTCAAAATAAAATTATGGGTCTAATTTCAATATGAATTAGAATACAACAAAAAAGAGTAAGACTAATCCTTATGCTAAGAGAATAGGTAAATAACTTGTAAAGATGTCAAATCTCAAGCAGACCAATCAAAAAAATAAGTAAGATGAGATGACTGATAGCTGGGAGCTCCTGGCAGCCTCGTGATGGCTGGTAGTCAGGCGACCAACCAGGTAGCCAGAGGGTTAGAACTTTCAGTCCATCCTCCATTCCTAGGAAGTGGGGAAGAGACCAAAAGTTTAGTTGATCAGCCATGGCCAGTGATTTAATTAGTCACGGCGATATACTGAAGCCTCTAAAAACCCAGGAGGACAGCGAGAGCCGCGCTTTTCTGAACATATGGAGGTTCTGGGAAGGTGGCACGCCTGGAGAGAGCATGAAAGCTCCACACCCTTTCCTACCTACCTTACCCTATGTATTTCTGCATCTGGTTCTTCATTTTTGTATCCTTTCAGAATCCTTTGTAATAAATCATCAATAGTAAGTCGGGGTTTAAAAAAAGGCAAAGAAAATAATGAAACATATACAGAATACATATCTCCTGGGATGGCTATTATCAAAAAAAGGCGAGGGAGAAAACAAGGGAAAAAAACCCAAAAATGTGGCAAGTTATACGGAGAAAGTGGACCGCCTAATGTGCTGCTGATGAGAACATAAAATGTTATCACTTAGGAGGCAGAGTAGCACATTCCCGTAATCCCAGAACTTGGAAGACTGAGGCAGGAAGACAGCATGTTCAAAGCCGGCCTATTCTACATAGCAAGTAGGAGTTCAGGTCAAGCTGGACTATATATTAAGACCCTGCTTCAAAAGACAACAACAGAAAACAAAACAAAACAAAACTCAAGACGATTAAATAAAGAAATAATAAAATGGTATAGCCACTATGGAATAGTATGGTGGTTTCTCAAAAAACTGAAAACAAAATTTCTGTATAATCCAGTACTCTCAATTTTGAGTTGAAAGCAGGGTCCAAAAGAGGTATTTTATACCCATGTTCATAGCAGCACCATTCACAAGATCTAATAGGTGGAAGCAATCCTAGTGTTAATGGAGAGATGAATGGATAAAAAAAATGTGGTCTATACATACAGTGGAATATCAGTCTTACAAAAGAAAGAAATTCTAAAATATACTACTGCAATACAGATGAACATAAAAGACATCATGCTAAGTAAGTCAGTAACCAAAAAGGCATTACTGTAGAATTCAACTTAAAGGATGTATCTGGAATTGTCAAATTCATATAAAAGAAAGTAGGATGGTGGCTGCCAGGAGCTACAGGGAAGGAAAAGCAGGAAGTTGTTTTTAATGACTATACTGTTTCAATTTTGTAAGATGAAAAATCCTGGCCATAGACTTTTCTTGAACTGGCAACCCTGGATGACTTATCAATCAAGGAAACAATATAAAGTTAGTTTAAAAAGCATTATTTCTGTAGGTACCTTTACACATGAACTTAAAAGTGTTAAAAGACTATTTCACTATTTCATCTTACCAAAAGCTGTGGCCACATTTCGTCATGTATGCTTCCTCAATCATATCAAAGCAGATGGGGCTAAAAAGAAAATAAAAAATTGGTAATTTTTTAAGTAATTACAAATTGGAAAAGGCTACTAACATTATAAAATGAAATCAATTTAGAGTTAAGTTTTCTAACCTATTAATGATATATAAAATTTCTGCTGAGCTCAACTTTAAGGGAATATTGGTAAAATGCCAATCTGTTCAAAATTACCCAAGGACCATGGAATACCAAAATTAATTCAATTTAAACGATTCAAATGTTTTAACTCAACCCACAATTTTTAAAGTGTATATCAGTCACCAGATCTCTTAAGGAAATTCTATCATCTTATCCCATATACCACCACCCTGCACTGACAATCATTTATGTACACCTGCTTTCTTTAACCTAAAAGTTTTCTTTCCCATCCCAAAGAAAACCAACTCTTTTAGTAATAAATTTTTAATTTTAGTTTCAACAGTTCTTGTAATGACAATGATGATAATAACTAATGCTTACAATTTTAGTTTCAACAGTCCTTGTAGGTAATGACAATGATAATAATAACTAATGCTTAAAACAGAATAAAATATAACCATTAAACCTATGAGCTATGCTTTGGGTCTAACTCTCCTACCAAATCCTCATGCATACACAGGTGGGTGAATCTAGATTGTGTAATGCTAGGATTAAGGGCATAATGATTACTAAAACATTTCCCATTAAGTGATTGGTTTGTCACCCCCTAATCCTGGTAGTCTGAATAAAATAAAAGGAGCAGAAAGAAACTGTTAAACTCCCTTGCTGCTTTTTTCCGTCTTCGACTGCCATGAACTATTTTGTTACTTTTGCTACCATGTGGTCACCATGAACTGTTTCTCCTCTGCAAAGCCTGTTTGCCATCCCTACCTTGGAGCCAGCTGATTATGGACTGAAACTTTCACAAACTGTAAATAAACCCCTTCCTGTCTAACTTTGGATGTTGGGTATTTGGTCTCAGCAATGAGAGAAAAGTAACTAAGACACTATAACATGTATTAATTCATTTAATTCTTTCTACCACACAAAGAGATAGGTACTTATTACTAGATTTCTTTGATAGATAAGGAAATTGAGACACAAAGCTGTTAAAGTTATTAAACTAGGAAGTAAAAGAATTCAAATTCAGGTCTATCTTTCAAAATACTACCCTATACAGTTTTCTGATACACTGAGTTAAATTCCAATTTTAATCCTCCTCTTCCTTGTTTTCCTATAAAAAAACAAAAGCAGAAAGTTCAATCTTCAAGCCTTCTTCACAATTAGTGTTGGCCATATGACAGCCCTGGACAATGAAATGACATCATCAGTCGTAAAACAACAGAACACAGTCTACAAAAGAAAAATGTAAAGTCGTATAAAAACACATTTTCTTTCCTCCTTCCCTTTCCTTCCTCCCTCCAATTATGACCAAGTTTCTAGAGATTCAACAGCCATCTTGTGACCATCAAGACAAAATCCATAAGCCAGAAAGATAAGATACTGGTTCCTTGATGATATTCTTGAATAGCTAAATCAGCCCTGTACTGCCTACCTTTGAACTTTCCAATGCAGAAGAAAAACTAACCTCACTTTCTTAAACCAGTGTTCATCAATTTTTCATAATGAGCATAAAAATCCCATTCTTATTGATACAGTAACACTGAAAATGGTACACAAAAATTCACTCACTCATTCCAGAAAAATGTCCTGAGTATAAATACTATCCTAGAATGCGAGGAGGTAAAATACAATGGCATAAATCAAACTGTTAAAGATGACTGCAAAACAATGAGAAAAAGTATGTAGGTAAGAGAACATAATGGCTGCAATGAAACCCATAGCAAAGACAACTGAGATGTTGAGGGAGATGGGGGATAGGGAAGAACCAACCTACCAATTCACTGAGTATGTCAAGATTTATATGATGGAATACAATGCATATTTAACTGGTAGAACTTGGAGAAAGGACTGTTTTTGTATTTGAATGTCATTACATATATCATTACTAACACCCTTAAATAAAAAAAACACGGCCTTAAATTTGGTGTACCACCACAACAGGTCGGTGCCTGTGTGCAATTAGAAACAGGCACTCTCAGTCAGTACAGTGGTGCAAATCTATCATCCCAGAAGTCTGGGAGCAAGTTCTAGCCCAATCTAGAAACTAAGTGACTTCGCAAGATCCCATCTTAAAAAATAAAAGGGCGGGAGGGAGGGAAGGAGGCAGGCAGGCAGCTCTTAGAGAAAGAATAAGCCTTATCGAGTAAAATGTAAACTGGATTTCAGGCCCCACTGTCCCCTTGATCAGATAAAAGTATTAAGTGTACCTACTGCATGAGAGGTATAGAATAAAAGAGCCTTAGGTGCCAAATTTACATGACTGACTGAAGAATTTAAAAGGAAAAAAAATCCAAGTCTTAACACCAACAAATTTACAATAAACAATTCTCTACTTTCCTTTATAAATCCATGTATAGGAATAGAACAAATTTAAAGCCACCATGATATGACCTAATAGAAAATGCTGCTATTAAAATAATTACTTTATATAGTAAGGTTAGGTAGTGATAAATGCTGAAGGAAAAAATAACAAAGAAGGTTGGGAAGGAACAAGTTAGGAAACAGGCTGCAATTTTATTCATGGTAGTCAGGGAAGCCCAATGAGAAGTCCACACTTTAGCAAATTTCAAAGTAGTGAGGAAATGATCTACATGGAAATCTAGAGGGTAAGCAACCCAGCACAGAAATAAGCAAGTGCAACCAAGTGGGAGAATGGTATAAGGCAAAGCTAGAAAGGTAGTAGGAATCACCTTAAAAACTCAAAATGTGGCCAGGCGTGGTGGCGCACACCTGCAATCCCAGAACTCAAGAGGCTGAGGCAGGAGGATCACTGTGAGTTCGAGACCAGCCTGGACTACATAGTGAGCCCCAGGTCAGTTTCAACTACATAGTCAGACCCTGCCTCAAAACAAAATAAAACAAAACAAAACCCCAAAACTCAAAATGTTAAGGGTTCTGGCTTTTACAAGTGAGTAAAACAGAAATTAATTGGAGGATTTATAACAAAGGAATAATATGACTTGATAACAAGGATGAACCACTGCACCTGATAGGCTGAGACATTAATGGAAACAAAAGTAGAAATAGTAACCGAAGCTACTATATTCAAGTGAGAAATGATGCTAGAGAGGCTAAAGATAGTAGCAGACAGGTAGTGGTAATTCATCAGGTTGGAGACATATTTTGAAGGTAGAGCTATGATTTGCTGATGGATTAAGTGCTGCATATGAAACAAAAATGAATTAAGGTTTTTGGTCTGAAAACAAACAACTGACAACAGGTTCATATCATATAGAACTATATTTTTTAAAAAAAGAACAAAACCATAGTATATGTGTTGAATGCATTCCCTTAATACCAAAAGTTGTAATATCAAAAAGTACTATCGAGTAACACATGAATTAAAGACAAAAAGGTTGCCATTCTTTTCACCAAGTTACTTTTTAGAAAAATGGAATGGACTGAAACTAACCCCATGTACGCCACACCTATGTTTCTGACTTTCAAGTAAGCAGTTTAATCTCTAATCCTCTTTCCTCATTTGTATAACTGAGATAACAGTCATATTAGACTTACTGTACTTA